TTTTCGTGAATTTTTCGTTTATCTCTTTCCATCCAATCATTCTAGACATATTTTGACCCATAGGAAGCCCCAAGTAAGTAGAAGGAAATTTATCAGCTTTACAACCAACCAGGTAAGCATATTGCTCAACTTCTTCAAAAGGAACGAACAGCCCCATAAAGATTCGATTTGTGCATATTAACCTTCAACCCCAAAACTAAGTAAAAACAATGTAAAATTCTAATAATATTGCTAATATTACATTTTACCCAATCACCAAGGAAGATAGCATCATCAGCGTAAAAAGAATGAAAGACTACCATTTCCGACCTTTGTACCAGAAAAAAAGTCAACTTCTTTTGCATCCTCCATTGCTACATGAAGGCTTTCCATTACTACAATAAAAAGAAATGGAGACAACGGATCTCCGTGGCGAAGACCACTATATAATTGAAACTCTTTAATAGGACTTCCATTAACAAGAATAGAAGTCTCAAACGAAATTAAGCATGCTCTAATCCAAGCACGCCATTTTTTCCCGAAATTCATAAAATGTAACATAGTCTCTAGATATGATCAACTCCCAGAATCATAGGTTTTTTCAAAAATGTATTTTGAGAAACATCAACTTTTTCTTTTTCTTTTTATACCAATCAATCAATTCATTCCCCATCAGGTGGCCGTCTAAAATTTGTCGATGCTTTATAAACGTCGATTATTACCGCTAACACCAGATTAATAATTTGATAATCTCAAAGCCAAGATCTTTGCGAAATTTTTATATTGAATACCAATAATACTAATATGACGGTAATCATTTACGACGACCGGACTACTTTTCTTAGTGTATGTATGGATTTAGTTGAAGTATAATAAACTAGAATTATAGAAAAACTCTTCTAAATTTTAAATAATTTATTTATTTAAACTTCTATTTGTTACAAACTTGTAGTATTTAAAAACAAATTCTTTAGTCTCCGGATATTTAGTTTACCTCTTTTTTTATATATATAATTAATTTTTGGTTTACCTCTTATTTTGCGGATCATATTTAGAATTAAAAATAAAAAAAAAAAGGCTTTTAAATTTTAAACTACATCTAAAACTACCATTAAAATATGGACCATGGAAGAAAAAAAAAAAAAAATTATACATATGATGCCAGATTCTATGAATAAGTGAAATATATTAATATTTCCGGAAGACGACATTTGGTCACATCAAACATTACTTGTGATCTAATTTATCTCTTTAAAATCAACATCGAAGACAAAGAAGAGGCTTTGAGATCCACCATTTGGTACCTTCGAAACATAGATTGATTAATTAAATGATATTTATTAAGGATTTATGTTTACTATATAAAGTATAATCAATTGTTATTAGTAGATATCTAAAACATTTTAAGCTGAATTTAAATATCTTTATTAATATATCAAGTCATTTAACATTTAAAACATATATTTTGAGCATTATGATTAAAAACTTGTCACAAAATACACTAAAACTTTCCTTATGTCTAAAAATGACATGAATTTGGTAGTTGGTCCCATTGCAAAATGCAAAATTGAGAAAAATAATCCCCCAAAGGTAATTTTAGAGATTTCATCGTTCTCATGAGAATGTATCTTAAAATCTCTCTTAATCCTAATTTCAAACACCGATTTGACTTAAAATTTTGCAGAATACAAATAAGCCCTCGAAAACTATCTTTAATGTTTTATAAATCTGTAATAGATCTGTTAAAATCGTAATTCAAAGTTCCTATGTGGCACTGCAATCTTCCATTATTTTAAATTTTTAATTTGACAGTAGAACTTTTTTTTTCTAGATATTAACTAGTCTTTTTATGTAAGTATTTTTGTAAAATTATTTACTTTCATGTTGTCGTACTCTGGTTGTTTTGGTTTTAGAAACCTATGTTCCACAATGTTATGCGTCAGTATCATGTGAAATCTTAATTTCGTAGTATAGATTGAAAGGTGTTTGTGTTTGATCTGCCATCATACCAAGAGCAAAAACACTTAAGTAATGATGAGTTATAAGGTGTGTATCTTCTACATAGGGCATATGTCGACAATTAAAGACGATTGATTATATATTCATGCCCGCTGCTGGAATTCGTCAAAAAGGGACATGGATGCCACAACAAATCAACAATCATCTTTCACGTGGGTTGAAGTCAGAGATAAGTTACCCCTAAAGACCACAAATAGTGGCATTCTTTACTACCACTAACTATGAAGAGTTTGTTGCTAACGGAAGCCTCAACAACTTCTTATTTATATAAAAAGTAAAACAATAAACTCTTTTAATTTATTCACCATTTGGATTGATCAAATAACTTATGAAAAACATCTTATCTTATTTAATTGAATACAACGGTCATATATTCCATAACAATCTAACACCTTTTTCAAAGACCTAGGAACAAATGTCTACTTCTTAGATGATGTGGCAACTCGTGTAAAAAATTAGTTCTTGACTCACCTTCATCTAAGTTGTCATCGAACCAAAATATACCTTTTTTCTGGGATCTTTGGATCTTGTACCCCTTATCTTTTATCTACCAAACTTAAATCATTATCTACTCATAATTAGAACGATCAAGTTGTTTCTTGTCCCTCATGCCATCTTTTAGTTGCATGTAACTTCTTCTTTGTTTGATGGCAATGTCGATATAGCTTAACCATTAAGTTGTTTCTTAGTTTTTCTATCATCTTGCAGGACACCTAAACGTTAAGACATAGGTACACCGACTCACGAAGCACTCTCTAAGATAAGATGTTTTGGGTCAATGACCTAAAACCCACACACACACATCATTTTTTTCTTGATCGGATGGTAGCTCTTGATTGAATGGCAACTCAGACAAGAACATAATTGTATATTCTACATTGAAACTATATACACACATGAATATGGATATTTGGTCTTCCAAATAGACATGAAATTTCATCCCAATTAAAGAAAGTTTAAGTATTTTACATTTAAAACTATAGAAACAACACGTATAAATAGGCACAAAAACAATTTGGTAATGGCTACTATAAAAGGCACAAAATGACAACTTTTTTGCAATTAAGAATTTCGTACTAACCAAAATGTTACACTTAAAAGACTCAAAACTTTAGTTTTCTCTCCAAATAAGGATTTAGCAATGCATCCACAATTTCACAGTCGTCCTTACAAAATTGTGGATATTTTGAAGTGTTCGGAAACTTTTAAGATATATTGCGATAAAAATTAAATTAAATTTGTCTTTTTCTTATATTTTACTGTATGGTATACATATTCAACTAATATCTTTAAATATCATTTAATAAACGATTAATTTTATTATGTATAACACTCTTTGGTAATTAATAATCACCATATTATTGGTATGTTTGACAACAAGTTTTTAATGAATTTTTGTTTTTTCAAAAGTAAGTTGAATTAAAGAAATACTAGTAATATTTATTCCAAAGTACGGACTTCAACTTTAGTTTTTAAAAGTTTTCAGTAACTTTTTAGATTTTATGTTTTACGTTATTTTATACTTTTTATAAGTTTATAATTATTTTTATCAAACATTTCTCTCATTCTCTGTGAATAAAAGATATATAATTTCGAGCTTAAAGATTTTAGCTGCCACATCTACCAATTTCCAAATAATAGTTATAAGAAACATACCATATAATCAACTCAATTATATATAAAAGAAAATGTAATAATAAAAAACACACACATTATGATTATCCTCTCCGCCACCAACTCCAATAAAGAGTAGAAAAGGTGCAAAAGCCGTGAAACAAATATTCCCATCATTTTATTTAATTTCTTTAAGAAAAAACAACTTTTGTATTTTTAAATAATTTCCATTAACAAATGTTTCTATGGTTTTTAACCCAAAAACAATACCCACCATCATATTAATTAAATAATTGTCATCCCGTAAATAAGGTATCAGATTTGATAACTACTCAACAGTTTTTTTTTCTTTTTTTTTTTTTTTTTTTTTTTTGTAAACTATATTTTTTCAATATTTATTGACTTATCGATTTTCTTCGATGTTAACATTAATTCGTTCATCTATCAAATAATTCAATTGAAATAACATACTTTATAGAAAAATAAGATGTAATATACAAATCCTTTTTGTTGACGTAATAGATAAGAAAACATAAAGTCCAATAATCATTTCATGTTATTTTGATATTTATCTGATATGAAAAAGGTAAATTAATGCTTCGTCATCGACAAATATAAATATTTCCTTTTATATTTAATTTCTCTTCCTTTTATAAAGATGTCTTGTTACCGTTATTCTGTTATTCCGAAACAATGTAGTACCAGATGTTGATTATACATTTATACTTCAGAATAAATCTAATTATTTTAACGATAAATAATACTATAATATTAAATTCAACAAATAGAATAGTGGCTGATCCCCATGTTAAAATTACTGAACCCATCACTAAAATAATCAAAAGGCAAATACTTTTTTCTTTTTATCCATGTACTATCAAGTAAAACAAATTTTCCTTTTTGTAATATAAATATTTATTCTTATAATGAAATTCATACCCCAATCATTTTACCCACCGACTCCATTATTCAACAAAAAGAATTACTTGATCACTATTTTTTAAGATCAAAATACATCAACATGTCATTTTTCATAGAAAAAAAAAAGGTATGCGTCTAAAAAAAGTAGAATTGATTAAAAGGAATACCAAAAGTATATATATATATATATATATATATATATATATATATATATATACCTTGAGAAAACTATTTTTGAAGACTAATCATTAGAAGAAGTTCCCGAATTTATATTTTATTTTCACTGTTCAATAGTTTTTTTTATTATTATCGAACTGTTTGATATATTTTTTTTACTTTAGTCTGATAAAAAAATTGAATCACATTCGTTTAAATTCGGACTTTTTATACCACAAATAAAACCCAAAAAAAAAAACAATAAATTCTACTTTGACTAGATCTGTGTGTTTAAATTCCTTTTACTAACGCACCTATAAATCTGGAAATTTAGATTAAAAAAAACGATAAACTGTAATCGCTGGTTTCTCTCTCAAAAAGAGCTGCTCTGTCTTTCTCTCTCTACTCGTCAATTGTGAATCAGAACTGTTAGTGACCTTTGTCTTCCAAAAGCTGATAAAGTCCAGGCATACAATTCTCCTCAACGACCTGAGTAATTGCCCAAAACCCTAATTAATACGGTAGCTACTCAATTATGTTTGTAAAGATTTTGGGATTGATGTGCAAACTATCTGTTACTTACATTGAGCGACGTGTTTCATTTCTATTGATTGAGTGCATTTTTTGTTTGGTATTGGATCATCAGATCCGTCGAAATTGTATGAACTGAGCTCAAATTTTGATGCCAGTTGTATAATTCTGTTTTGTTCTTTTGTTGTTTGTGATTTATTGCAGGTTGATCTGAAGATATTTCTGGTGGAATTCATTGATAATTTAAGAAATCTCTAACGTGATTGGTTGCTCGATCTATTTACCTTTTTATTGCGATTTGGATGGTTTTCTGGCATGCGATTTTGCAGTTAGATGTCATGATCTTCAACCGATTAACAAAGACACTGGAATTTCCATAAGCATTGGAAATTAGCTGTTTTACAGTTGAATTTCCAGCAGCTTTTATGTTATGATAGGTTACTGGTTTCGTAATTGGTGGAAATTTAAGGCGGAACTTTGAGTTGGTTGCAGAATCTAGATATGAGAAATCCTTTGTTGAATAAGCTTTCCATATTTTCTGGCACTAGACCACCGTTAAACTGGCTACTCTTGTGTCTTGTTAGTGTTTTTGTGCTTATTGCTTTGTTAGGTTCATCTTCTTCTGGTGCTTTTGACTCTGTCACCACTAGTGTAAAACCAGAAGTTTATACAAACTATAGAAGATTAAAGGAACAAGAAACAAGCGGATTTTTTGAGTTAAAGAGCTTTGCATCTGAAAATAATGATCTGAAAGAGATTAGGTTATGTGGAAGGGAAAGAGAAGACTATGTTCCTTGCTATAATGTGTCTGCAAATCTGTTAGCTGGATTTAAAGATGGAGAAGAGTTTGATAGGCATTGTGAAGTGTCACAAGATCAACCATACTGTTTGGTTCGTCCTCCACGAGACTATAAAAGTCCCTTGAGTTGGCCAGTTGGTAGAGACGTGATATGGAATGCAAATGTGAAGATAACCAAAGATCAATTTCTTTCTTCTGGAAGCATGACAAAAAGGTAATTCTTTAATTTCAATCAGGATTAACCCAACTTCTCAAATCCTCAATCCTCATTCACATCTTTTCCTTGATCTTCTTATAGGTTAATGCTGCTTGAAGAGAACCAAATTTCTTTTCACTCAGATGATGGATTGTTATTTGATGGTGTCAAAGATCATTCGAGACAAGTTGCAGAGATGATAGGATTAGGAAGTGATGTGGAATTTCATCAAGCTGGTGTAAGTGTTTGTTAACCATATGATTGATAATTCATAAGTTTATCTTAATTTCCTTTTATGGTATAATGCAATTTCTAATGTTATTATCAACAGGTGCGAACAGTGCTTGATATTGGTTGTGGTTTTGGAAGCTTTGGGGCTCATTTGCTCTCATTAAAACTAATGGCTGTATGTATGGCTGCATATGAGTTAACTGGTAGTCAAGTTCAGTTATCTCTTGAAAGAGGTCTTCCTGCAATTATTGGCAACTTCATTTCAAGAAAACTTCCATTTCCATCTTTGTCATATGACATGATCCACTGTGCACAATGTGGTGTTCTATGGGACAAGAAAGGTAGTTTAAAATTAAACCACTTCTGGCATGATTATAGATTATGATTTATGAAAATTAATTTTTTTTTTTTTTAATGTGCTACTGTTTTCATGAATCAGATGGAATGTTTCTTATTGAAGCTGATCGGATACTAAAACCTGGAGGATACTTTGTATTACATAGAACTTCATTAAATATGGAAAAAGGAAGCCCAATTGAAGAGTTCACACAAAAAATCTGTTGGACATTAATTGGTCAGCAAGAAGAAACTTTCATCTGGCAGAAAACTAGCGATCCCCAATGCTACTCATCTAAGTGAGACTTTTTTTTCCCATAATTCCACATATACCCTTTTCCATATTTGTCGATATACGATTTATGGACATTTATTTGGTTTGAAATATCATAGCACACATGGCGCCATTCCTGTTTGCAACGAAGAACAGGAAGATTTTGATATTCAACCGTATTATCAGCCACTTGAATCTTGCGTAACAGGGGCATCCAGCAAACGGTGGATTCCCATCCAGAACAGATCTACAAATTCCCAAATTACCCCTGATGAGCTTCAAATTCATGGAGAGTATTTTTCTTAAATGACTTTTATTCTTGACACGTGTTGAGCAAGTATTGATCCATGTTTGTTTATGCAGGTGTTGAGCAGGATGAATTATATCAAGACTTTGAATCTTCAAGATCAGCTTTGAGAAATTACTGGTCGTTACTCACGCCGTTAATTTTTTCCGATCATCCAAAACGACCAGGGGATGAAGATCCGTTACCTCCTTATAATATGATTAGAAATGTGATGGATATGAACGCACGTTATGGGGGTTTAAACGCTGCGTTTTTGGAAGCGGGAAAATCAGTCTGGGTGATGAATGTTGTTCCAATTAGGGCTCAAAATTCACTCCCTCTTATACTCGATCAAGGTTTCGCAGGCGTTCTTCATGACTGGTAAGTATAATTAGCTTCATTTGACTCTTGAAAATAATCAAGTTAGCATGATTTCTTTTCCAAATAAGGAAATGTCACAGATTTTAGAAAAAAACCCTAAAAAAAGCAAAGTGTTTTTTTCTACGTTTTCTGATATTTTGTGTATACATTTTCTGAGATTGGCGAATTTTAAAATAGACCATATATTGGATCCGTTATGATAGTGATTTGAAGGACAAAAAAAGGTGCCAGTACCACCACTTTGTTTTTTGCAAAAAAACAAAGCAAATAAAATTATCAGAATACCATCATCACTCCCATCCCCATGTGACTACGTGAGTAAACTAAACTGCAGTTCTGAACTTGGTTTGCTGAAAATTACACATATGATCCCTGTCTTGAATTTTCTACATTTTTTGTCCCTCAAAGAATCTTCCGTGACCCTTTTCATCCCTGGAATGGATGCAACAGTGTTGACGCAGACAGCGTCCACTACAATGATGAAAAAAAAAAGTTACAAAAGATTTTCAGCAAATGACATTGACGAAATTACCCTTATTTAATTTCCTTGTGATCAAACATAGGTGCGAACCCTTTCCTACTTATCCACGAACATACGACATGCTTCATGCAAATGGGCTCCTCTCAGACCTTATATCAAAGAAATGCAGCACCACAAACTTACTTCTGGAAATGGACCGAATTCTACGCCCTGAGGTTATTTTTTTATTTTTATTTTTATTTTTTTGTACTTCAAACTCCCAATTTTAACTGATATGAAATAAACATTTATATTTTTCACAGGGATGGGTTGTTCTCTCAGATAAAGTGGGGCCTATTGAAGACGCGCGTACAATTGCTACACAAATACGATGGGAAGCAAGAGTAATCGATGTTGAAAATGGCAGCGACCAAAGGTTGCTCGTTTGTCAAAAGCCATTTCTGAAAAAATAAGGTTTTACTTTTTTAAGTTTTATTCTGTATAAAACAAACTCGGTAATTATTATTTATTCAACACCATTCACATTCCACGCAACAATCACGATATCGTAAGCTGTAGATTACACAAAGTTTTGATGTTTCTTTAATTTTTTTTGTAATCAGACCTACGTTTTGTAAGAAACGTAAATGTTAAATTAAATGCACGTGTTGTTATATCATGTTACAATTTGTGAATTTGACCTATCTCTTCTTTTCTCTCTAGTGGCCATTTTCTGACCATATCTTTCAAATATGTCTCCTAAATCAAACAAACCAACTTCTCTTAATTTTTTCGACATCACGTCAAACATAACAACACCTTCTTCGTTGGAATAATAATGCAAGAATTTATTATAATCAAATCTAGGCACTTCAACTCCTCGATTCATCACTCTCTCAACATATTTACTAGCTTCCAACGACTTCCCAGCCTTCACTAACCCTCCAACAAAAATCGTGTCAAAATTAATCAACGGGTCATCTCCTTTTCGCCCTCTTTTACCTAAATGCCCTTGCAATAGCATTACATATGTGTGCATTGTAGGCTCACACCCTCTCCTTATCATCTCCCTAAACACATTTGTTGCTTCATTTGCCTTTTTTAATCTCAAGAGTCCTTTGATTAAACCATGGTAAACGCTTATATCAGGTCTCTCAATTGATTCGGCAATGTTATAAGCTTCACGGATTCTACCGTTGCTTAAAAACCCATAAATTAATGAACCAAGTATTGTGCAATCTGGTTGTATACCTCTCTCACGCATTTCATCGAACACCTTCCGTGCGTGACCAAGCTTCCCCTTTTTACACATCCAATGAATCACAAGCTTGTAAGTTGAAAGCCCTAAATCGTCAATGGATTGAAAAAGCTTCATTGCTTCATCGAATCTATTTGTTTTGAAAAGCGTTTCCATCATCTTTTCGACACCATCGATATCTACATCAAAACCTTCATCCACCATTACATTCCATATCTTTGAAGCTTCAACCAAATCACCGACGTCACAAAATCCACGAATCAAACACTTGTACGTAAACCCATCTGGTTTAATCCATTCCTTCAATTTTAAAACAATGTGTTTAGCTTCTTCAGCAAGTTTACACCCACATAAAGTCTCAATCACTTTGTTCAGAGTTCCTAGATTATACCCGTAACCAAATCCATTCATTACGTGAAAAAACTCGACACATTTCTTCATCTCCCTCGCGGACGCCAAAGTTTTAATCGCTATCTTATACGTTTTATCTGTAACCAAACGGCTATGGCCGATTTCATTGATCAGATCCCATAAAAGGTCGATGTTTCTTGATTTTCCGACGACGTCGAGCATTTTGTTTACTGTGACGGGAGTGTGATTGAAGGTTTGGGTTTGGGAGAATTTGTGAAACTTGTAGACGGGTTTCCAGGAGTAGGGGAATTTGTTGCAGATTTGGAGGAAGAATTCATGGGTGAGGTCGAAGTCGCAGCGGGAGAGAGAGGTGTGGAGTCTTGATTCCGGCGAGTCTTGTTGTTGGTAGAGGATGGTGCAGACGCGGAGGAGATGTGATGGGTTGACTGGTGTTAAGGGATCGGGAGTGGTTGCTGGTGATGGAGGACATGGTGTATTATAGTCGGAGTAGTTGGTGGTGGTGGAGTGAAATAGGCGGTGGTGGACGGAGGAGATGCGTTTGAGCGGGGTATGAAATTGGAGGCGCCTGATCATTTTGTACGAAGATGCTACAAAACTATCCCAACATGATCGAAGTTTATAATATCTTAACAAAAAAAAAATCTTAACAAAAAAAAAAACAGATACAATGACAAAAATAGCCAATTATCCTAATCACTTTGCGGAAAATAGCCAAAAAAAAATTGAATTTGCAAAAATGGCCATGAAAATCGCAGATGGGAATGGTCCATCTGCGATTTGCACATTCCATCTGCGAATGTACAAGTGGCTAAAGCACAAGTGTGCTTTAGCCACTTGTACATTCGCAGCTGGATTGAATTTTTTTTAATTTTTTTTTTGTATATATAGGGCATTTCAGGGTTAAAATCGCAGATGGACTGTGTCCATCTGCGATTTTCTCTGTATTCCATCTGCGAATTTGCGTTTTTTTAAAATTTTTTTTTTTTAATTTGACTATGAAATCAATTGGTTTGACTACGAAATAATGTTACTATATATAAACTTTTGTAGAAAATTATCAGTTTAGTTGTTATTTGTTTAGGAAATTTCTCTAAAATCTTTCTAAAAAAATGATTGAATATTTGGTTTGTCTTGTAACCGGTGGGAGATGGGAAGTTATTGAAACAAATCTGGAATACGTATGTCCACATGGAGATATTTCTGAATTTGCTTTGATATTTTCTGAGTATATTAGTTATAGTGATTTTGTATCTTTGGTGAGAAGCAAAATTGGTTTGTTAGACAAATATAGAATTAGTCTTCGTTTCCATCATCCTGAATTAAATTATTATATAGCTATAGTTGAAGACATGGATATTAGAATGTTGATAAATGTAATCAAATGTAGTGGAGAAAGGGCTGTGAAAGTGTTTGTAGTGGTTGATGAAGTAGATGAGGTTAATGAGGGTGGTCACAGTGGAAATCAGCCGGTTGGTAATTTATGCAGCTATAAAGGGAGCAACGATCCGATAGGTACATTCAATACTCCTAGTGTACCTCAGTTTCACAGTGTTGCTGAAAATGTTAATGTTAGTTATTCACCTATTAACTATGTGGATCCTGAGAATTACAAGTATGTTGGTGATGATGATGTTGGTACATATCTTAATGATGTGGGTGGTCGTCGTGATGATGTTGCCGAACAAGAAGTTAAAGTTATGAATAGGCGTGTGGTAGATAAAAGTAAAAAAGAAAAAAAATCGAGTCAAAAAAATGAAAAAAAGCATGTTTACGGGGATTATGTTGATGTTGTTGATGTACGTTTAGATATAACCGACCTACAAAGCAATTCAGATAGAGATGAGTTGGGTGATGAAGTTAAAGCTAAGTTTCCCGATAACCTTTTTTACGGTATGCCCCCTGTACCAGCATGTCCAGTTGATATTAATGAAGATATCCCAACACAGATGGTAGACATGAATCTTCAAAAGATTGAATGTGAGAGTATATTTAAGAACAAAGAACTTTTAAAGCGGTGTATTGGTAAAAAATGTCTTCGAGAAGGTTTTCAGACGAGGACAAGTAGATCCACCAAATCAAGGTATGAAGTTGTGTGTGTTTCGAAAAATTGTTCTTGGTTACTAAGAGCAAAAGCAATTAAAAATTCTGATGGACTTTTCCAAGTGAATAAATTTGTTGATGTACACACATGTTCTTCAACAATTTTGCAACCTAATCATCGACAAGCAAACAAATATGTTTTGGGTGAATATCTTGCTGATGTTTTGGCTGAAGACTATAGTAGAGTTTATCGGGGAAAAGATATTATTAATGATATGAATGCTCAATTGAATATCAATATCTCATACCATCAGGCATGGCGTGCGAAGCAATATGCATTGTTGTTGTTAAGGGGTACGAAAGATGATTCTTTTACCAAACTTTCGGCGTATTGTCACAATTTGGTCAAACATAATCCGGGTACGGTGACACATATTAAAACAGATGGTGATGATCTCTTTGAGTTTTTGTACGTCGCACTCGGTTGCTCGGTTAGTATTATAATATTTTATTAATTTTTTCATTTTTATTTTGGTGTATTTCAATAGATATACAATGTATTGTAGGTACGCGCTTTTGTCAAATTTTGTAAACCGACCCTAGTAGTAGATGGAGCCCACCTAAAGGGCGAGTTCAAAGGTACCATGTTACTTGCAGTTACTAAGGACGGACAAAACCAAATATTACCGGTTGCATATGGTATATGCAAAAATGAGTGTACCGATTCTTGGACATGGTTTTTTCAAAAACTACGTGATTGCATAGGAAATATGCAGGAGCTTACAATTATATCTGATAGGTCTCCATCTATAGCAACATCCGTTGCCAACATTTTTCCTCACGCTCATCATGGAATATGTGGTGTCCATTTGTATTTCAACATAGTATCTAGATTCGGGAAGAGTAACACAGTTAAAGGAATTTTTTGGGAGGCTTGTAGGGCGTACACAGTTGATGCTTTTGACGCTGCCATGGATGTTATGAAAAAGACAAAAGAACCAGTATGGGAGTACTTAAAAAGTATAAATCCAGAAACTTGGTCAAGGGCACATTTTAAAGGGAACCGAAACTTGTATTTGTTGTTATGTTTAGAGCATTGTACTTGTTACTTTAAAACAAATGGTGGTGTCGTTCTTATGTTGTAAGTATTTAAGTTATTACTAGGTCATTAAATTCAACATACAATTACATATACAAATATAAGATCCAACTACATAGGACCAAGACTCGACCCCCAATAAATTTTTGTCATCCGTTGGCGAAACTCTAAAGCTGCGTTCCTTGGGTCAATAAGTTCACGTATTGGTTGGCCTGAAACTAATTGTTCCATAAACATACAAACAAATACACCGCAATCTCCCAAATGGCTACTTTGTTGGGGAACATTTGTTTTAAATATGAATTGCATATTCAATGGAATCCTTGGGATGTTCCTCCGGGCCCAATAGTTAATCTTGTCTAAATAATTTGCCACCCGAGCCTCAAATTTGGTAAAGGTTCCATCACGCTTGAAATTTTCATAAGCCACTCTACCGATACTGTCATAAATATGGACTTCCATATTCGCCAATCGAAGTTCCCCAAATAACCAGTGATTAGGGGCTGAATGAATCGGTAATATGACTTGTATAAGGATAAAAAAGAAATAAATTTTGTTTAGAAATAAGAATACCAAAACATAACGACAATAACGATAATATTTGAAAAAAAATAAAATTTAGTTTACCGTATCGACATCCCACCAAGCAACCATGAAGTTGGGGTATTTAGCAATACCAACCATAAACGCCCTCCAATCCTGCCCTTCCTCCACAGCATGGCAAACAAAAAAATTTGCCGGCATTATTGTATGTCAGTCGTTATCAAAACGTCTCTCCATCAGTATTCTATACCAAAGGGTGATATGCTGCACAAAATTATGATACTTTTGTTAATAACTAAAAAAGAAAATACTTTTAAAAAAATAAATTAAGTATTATTTTACCGCTGACTCCAA